TTGTGCCTTCTTTTCACAAAATGATGTAAAAACATGATGGATATAAAAGGGCATTTATTCCTTCTTAGTAAGGACTGGCAAACTGTGATCTTTATGCACCTCCTGGTTACTTAGCATACACACTGGACAAACTTCTGGTGGTGCATATAAAGCAGAAAGGAACAAAGATGAGAGATAGGGTATATTCAACACCCAGGTAATAGGGAGAAAGGAGGCAGATGTAACAGAAAGCAGCTGTTAGATTTTGTGATAACTGTTGTCTTATAGAGACCTGGGGAAAATAAAAGAAGGAAGGCTGTAAAGGAGCACACACTCATATTTTTGTACCCAAAACAGTGAATGAACCACAAGAAGCAAAACCAGGAAAAAATATTGGTTTGGATGGCATTCTTGAAGTATTGGAGAGGTAAGTGGAAAGGAAAAAGGTAGCCAAACTACCGAACAAAGTAAAAAAAAAAAGACCACTGTGCATTTTAATTTTATTTATTTTTTAGTCTCTAGCTGGGTATGACTTTGCATCCCTCAGAAGGGAGAGCAATGCAAGGATGCAATTGGATTGCAGCACGGCCTCAAAGACTTTACCAAGCCATGTTTCATAAAGTATCTCAAAAAGGATATACCTCTGCAGGAAATACACACCCCTTTCAGAAACCCATGGCATGTACTCACCTGAGGCACCCTAATGTAGCACTCTGCAACAGGATGGGGCAACTCTCACTCTCCCAGAAAAGCACAGGCCCATCCTCCACATCCTTCAAAGTTCCTGATGACTTTATAGAGTTCTGGAATTAATTAGTATTTGGGGGACAGAAGGGACAGAGCACGCAAGCGTCATTTTTGTTTGTACTCTGTTGTTACAGTTGATGTAGTTTCCACAACCTTTATGCATCCTGTCAGCTACCCATCAGAAACCGAGTAGTATTTCATAGAATCATAGAATTGACTAGATTGGAAGGGACCTTTCAGATCATCTAGTCCAACCGTCAACCTACCACTAACAAAAACCATCACTAAATCATTCTCTAAGCACCATGTCTACCCATCTTTTAAATACCGCAAGGGATGGTGACTCAAACCACTTTCCTGCTTAATAACCATTTCAGTGTAAAAATTTTTCCTAATATCCAACCTGAACCTCCCCTGGCGCAACTTGAGGCTGTTTCCTCTTGTCCTATCGCCTGTGACTTGGGAGAAGCGACCACACCCCACCTCTCCACAAGCTCTTTTCAGGTACTTGTATATATTGATAAGGTCTCCCCTCAGCTTCCTTTTCTCTAGGCTAAACAGTCCCAGCTCCTTCAGCCACTCCTCATAGGACTTATTCTCCACACCCTTCACCAGCAGAGGTATTCCCATCTCTACTCAGCCCATCTGCAGTGCTGGCTCCAGTCCTAGCCTCATCAGTACAAGGAGGACATGACAATACTGAAGTGAGTCCAGTGAAGGGCCACAAAGATAATTAAGAGATTGGAGCATCTCTCATATGAGAGGGATTGACACCTTGAGAAGAAAAAGCTCAAGGGAGATCTTATCAAAGTGTATAAATTCCTCATGAGAAGAAGTATTAGAAGGCTAAACCAGACTCTTAGGTGTTGTCCAGTGACAGGATAAGAGGTAGTGTGCATCATTTGAAATACAGGAAATTCCATTTAAATATAAGAAAAAACCTGATTGAACATTGGAACAAATTTCCCAGAGAGGTTGTGGAATCTTCATTCTTGGAGATATTCAAACACCAACTGGACACAGTCTTGGGTAAACTGGTCTGCTGACCCTGCTTTGATCAGTGGCCTTGGACTAAGCAATCTCCAGAGGTGCCTTCCCGCCTAAACCATTCTGGGATTCTGGGATTTCACTTACACTGAGTCTTGTGCAAGATGAAATATTGAATTTGTTTTGTGGCAGGGGAAATCAGCTGTAGCACAAGACATCAGAATTAAATTATCATGATTCCCATTGTCCTTCCTTTTGAAATTGAAATTAGAGGATCTTTAGGGTGCTTCTTTTTTTATATAATTTTATGGAGCTTAGAGTAATAGGCCCTGAGCTTGCTTAATGATAAAAGGAACCATAATAATCCAAATAATAGGGTAAAATACAGATGACAAATTTCATGGTGCCTTAATCTGAGAGGCACTTATTTTAACCCTTTGGTGAGTGCGTAAGATGCTTTTCTGAACCCCACATTAGTTGGTAGGATAATTGCAGTGCTTTGAGCATAAACTTGCACTTTGTTCTGCCTTCATTTCATGCACATATTACTTCTTTCTGCAGCCTCTGAAGTGAAAAAGCACACCCAAACGGAAGCAAGTGAAGAGACGAGAGGAAAACAAAGTGATTCAATTATTGCCTTCGGCCTTGAGAAATTCATACATTTGACTTGTAACCGCACATGTGATGTGGTGGTTCAGCTCTTCTCCTCACACTGAAAGTACACTTAGGGGTGAAAGTAGATTGCCAGAATTTACTAGAGGATACTCATCTACTAGCTCAGACAAGGATACTCATCAACATACTAGCTCTTGTTCCCTATAATAGGCAATCATAAAACCAAAAAGGTATATATTTAGAGTATTCGGAGTAACCTCTGGGCAAATGTCCCTTCCCCAGATCTACCGATTTTAAGCAACCAATTCATAAAGAGTTAAAAAAAGCTATGAAACATGTTGTGTATCATGCTAGGTTGTATCATGTATCATGCAGGTTGCTATCATGCGGGTGCCTTTAGAGGAGAGGCTGGCCTTTTGGTAGCTTAACTTTTCACTTAAAAGAATTACATTTAGCGCTGGTATCTAAAATTAAAAGTAAAAAAGTGATTTCAGAAAAGAGCAATGAAGATATTTCAAGTATTGGGAGCACGTTCTCCTAAGACAGATTTAAAAAATTGATTATTTGGATGTAGAATCAGAGATGTCTTGTGAGAAATGTAGCAACGGCCAAAGAGATTCAATGGATAGATTCACCATGGAGGTAGCTTTTCCCTCATGTCTCGAGAAAGTCAAAGGAATCATCGACCAGCAGCTCAGAACAGAATTCAATTTACATTGGTAAATAGCTTGTGCAGGTACAGAAGGGCATTTCCAGAGTAATGAAGTAAAACTATTAATGCAAAATGTTTTGGAGAAATGTCCTCACAGCAAATAGAAAGCTGTCTCACAGGAAAAGCAAGAGAAGTTCAGCTGCCTGGGAAGTTTATGCTGCAACTGGACAGAGAGCTAGGGATCTGTGATAGAGCACCCTGTTTCAATTAAAGAGGTGAGCCAGAAGAGCTTCTAGCCTTTCCCATCTTTGTGTTTTACGAGTACAGGTGTTACAGGCATGCAAAGTAGCATATCTTAATTGTCATCTCCAAATCAGACCAGTTCCACTTGTGTTTGGTTTAGCATACTGTATTTTGATGAAGTTTTCATCTGATTTCCCTTAAGGACAACAGTAGCATTTCCACTCATTCAAGAAGTCAAGCTCTTATGCTATTTCATTTAGTATGGGTGTAGAGAATTTAAAGTGTGAATTAAAACAATGGAAAAGCCTTTGTGACATGACACAGGAGAGCAAACCTAGAACTTTGACAGTACAAATAGCTGTTGACTGCCAAAGCTTTACTCATCCACCGGTAAACTTTGCTCTGGGAAGAGAAAGCTGCACAAAGAGCTGCTGGAGCCTAAGGACTTCAAAGTGAATGACATGGAAGTGCAAATCAATAGAGTAACCACATGAAGCTTTTCAAGGGTATTTGATGCCTTCATGTGTTCGTTTCAAAATGTTACCTCACGAATTCCCACTAATCCTATCTTTCTTGAACTCTCTAGCTATTTCCTGAAAAAAAATCCTAACAGGTCCTAGGGAATCGTTGTTATAACCTTGATATTTTTGTCAGAAGAAACGTGGAGAATATGGAAACCTTCATTTGAGCTGATCTTTTTTCAGTAGAGTGCTTCTTGTAGGGAAAATGTACAAAACTTGCATCATGTGCCTATTGCCTACGTTACTCCACGCAGTCCTGCTGAAGCACTCCTCTGCAGGACTCAGCTGGAGGAGACAAAAGACATGCATGGTCTATTGCATTATTTTGCTGAAATGTGCTCTTTTTCTAGATATTTGCAACTTGTGTTTATCCAACTGTAGTCTTCTCATTAAATTGTTGGAATTTTGATTTTGCTGTTACTTGCTCCTGCTGGTACCCTAATGTAGACAAAGCCCTCTTTAGACTGGACACCACCTATTGCTTATCTGTTTTGAGCTTTGTTAAAAGTTGAAAGTAGTGTTGTTTTGCACTAGCCAGTAATAAGGAGACATGATTTGATGGTGCTGTAATGCTTTTATATAGTTCAGATCTTGGAGTCCTTATTCAAATCATCTGAAGCAAAATAATTCTTTTTTTTATTACTGGATAATTCTTTCCAGTGATATATTAGCTGATATGCAGTCATAATACACTCACTTGACAGTTCTGCTATGTAAGACGTTTTAAGAGAAATATCTTTAATCTTTCTGAAATGGCTATATAAAGTATATCGTACTGTGATGTGACTGCTACTTTAAAAGACCATCATGAAAACAACATTACTGGACTTCAGTAAGGTTCCACTGACTTTAATGAACTTTGGATCAGGCTGAGATTTCCTAATGTCAGAGACTCAGGAAAAGTACTATAATAAGGCTGCATCCTTTCAACTGTTAAAATGCCAGAAAGAAGATTCTTTTTAAATGTTTTTGATAAAATATATTTCACAATGTTGTCATACAATTTTAAGTAGCAAAAAAGTATCAGCATTTTAAAGCAGTGAGTCTAGAAAAATGCTCTGTATGGTTTTAAATGTTTCAAAATGCAATGGGTATATTCCTTTCTAATGTCCAATACTTGTGTCCAGTACTTGTGAACTAAGGACTCGCATCTGAAATTCACTTCAATCTTCATTTGGTCATGTAGAGAGACACTTGCTTCCAAAGCCTTGATAAACCAGACAGTTGTTTTCTTTAATTAGAACAAACAACAGAAATCTTACTTAAAAATGTTTATTGTAAAAAAGTGGCTAGAAAACAACATAAATTTCACTTCACACTTTCTTCAAGTTATCTATAGATGCTGCTATAGGCAACAATTCACTTTCATTCATAACACATTCAATCATATAAAAATAAAAATATTTACATTATGTCCACATACTTTACAAAACCATCAATAAAAAAGGCACTTGGAGGGGTAATGCTGAAAATATTGCATTTCCTTTGTGCATTTAAAAAAAAAAAATAATCGTCAAAATCCCATAAACCCCCTCTCTTGCACTTATTCCCGTTTTTTAAAAAAGATTAAAGTTTAGAGGAACTATTCCATATTAAAAGATGGTCAAGCATGCACCAGGAATGTTTGAAGCTACAGTCATTACTTTTTTTTTTTAAAAGGCACATGCGGTTAATTTGTGGCTTTCAATTTTCCATACATTCTCTTACAAGTTTTTTTTCCTCTCTTAATTATGCAGTTTTAAAGCATTTCAGATCATTAATGAAGGCCTTGGCTTCTAATAAAATAAAAAATAAAGAACACAGCAATGAATAATATTAAACATTTACTAAGGTAAACTTGGAATACTTTTTAAGGCACCTGAGATAAATGGTGTCTAGCAAAATTCACTTGGGTAGTATTCTTATTAAAAGTTCCACTTAAAATACTGTTTCTTTGGTTGAAATGGCTTGGCAGGAATGTATTGTTAACTTTGCAGCCTTTTCTAAGCAAGAAAAGACGACATACATTTGGCTTCATCTATAAAGAAAGCTGATAATGCTGCTTCCTTTAGATCTACTTGAAATGTCATGCATGGTGTCTTTCCCATATTTCAGAATTCACACTTAAGAATGCAAATGTGTGACTGAACAGAAACAACTTAAAGCTCATTTCTACTGACATTCTAAGTTCTTCCACTATTTTGTTTGTTTGGTGGTGTTTTGGATATTTTTTTTTTTTTGGCTGAAAAGCAGACGAGAAAACGCCTTTGGATTTTCCACTTATCATTTGGAACAGGAGTGGAGAAATGCATCGAGTCCAGGTAAACATTGACTGCATGACTCAGTGTGCTACACAGCAGCCAGATTCCTCATGTTTGTGCAGAAGAGACATTCTGGAGAAAGTTTTGGAGCAATTTTTGCACTGGTATTTCTTCACATCCGAGTGGGTCTGCAGATGAGCCCTCAGATTGGATCTGTCTGCAAAAGCCCTGTTGCAGTGAGGACAGGAAAACGGCTTCTCTCCTAAAAAGGAAACATCAAGGAAAAACAGGATAAAGCTTTAAAAAAGAAGTACACGTTTGAGGCAGGTAAAACCCGCTTTTATCCTAAGAAACGAACAAAAAAGCCCAGAAAGGATTCGTTATAATCAAGAAGGTGTAATAAAAAGTTAGTCAGGCCACAGACACAAGAACTTTCAGCACTGCTGACTGTACTTGCAGAACTCAGTCTTGTCGGAATACGCTGCTAAGCGCAGTCCCCGAAGACAAGCTGCTGACTCCTTCTGCATCTACAGGTGCAGGCAGTACTTTCAGGCTGGGCTCCTCCCAACACTTTCAAATATTTTCATAGGACTTTTTTTTCCTGCTCAGCGCTGTGTAAATTACAGGGGACAAGGGCTTTGACTGAAGAGCAGCAGACAGCTCTATAGGCACTACGTTGTACACAATGTGATATTCAAAATCAAGTTTTTGCCTCAACAGAAAAAAGACCCCAAGCAATCCACTTTGGTGATGATGCGTTTCTAATTCTTAAGGACTTGAGATAGCACATGCAAAACTTGCCAACTGCTTAAGGAGGCAGAAAGCAGCCCCTCATGCATTGCCTTTCTGTTTTGCTGCTTGATTTCAGAGTCAGCTGGAGCCTTCTCAAAGTTAGCAATTTCCAAAGCCTGAAAGTTAACATAAAATCCTTAAAGAAAACCTTCAGCTGGTGGAAACGGGCTGAACCGTCCGAAAATTATCATGGGAGCAATGCTGATTTATGTCAGTATCTGACCTACAGTTATGAGACCATGCTCCAATCCCCTCCCGCCCACCCCTCAAGAGGGAGAATTTAGCCTTTTGATGACACATTTGAAATTCTGTGGAGGCATTTCAAGGTTAGTAAAGAAACACTGCTTTTTTTCCCCCCTCCCCACCTGTGGAGAAAAATAGCAAAAGGGCATCCTGATGTTATAGCAACGAGAAAGTGCAGCTGTAATGGTTGTTCTTACCAGTGTGCGTTCTGATGTGTCCTTGGAGTAGCCAGGGTCTAGAGAAAGCCTTGCCGCAGATCTTGCAGACACAAGGTAGTGTGTGGGTCCTGATGTGCATCTTAAGAGCTCCCAGGCTGACATACTCCTTGTCACAGTACTTGCAGCTGAACGATTTCCTAGACTGGGCATCGCAGTGCAGCTGCTTATGTTTGGCCAACCCAGAGAAAGTTGAATAGGTCTTGTTGCATAAACCGCACTGAAACTTTTCGGCTTCGATCGCGTGGGGGTCTGAAAGCTTGGACTGGATTCTCTCTTCTTCATCGCTAATGGGACTTTCTGAGCCGCTGTGATCTTTGGAGGAGGTGTCAGAAGGTGGAGGTGGGCTGACTCTTCCCAAAGATGAGGGGTATCCGGAAAGCGGAGAGAGGTCGTTGGGTAGCGGAGACGGTAGCAGCCCGGTTGTAGTCCACACAGTAATGGGGTTGTAGGCTACTGAGCTCAGGATCTCTGGCTGGGGTATGATAGGCACTGGGTAGCTTTCATACAGGTATGGGGATATAATCACTGGAGAAAAAAAGAAAATTTTAAGGTAAGAGAACCAAAAAAGCATTTCAAAAGGCACCAACGTTAACATTTCAGGGATTAAAAGGTGCACAAATTAAACAACTCAGTATGGTCATCTGAATATAAGGAGGATTAAGGAAACACTATTTCATATATATAGAGAGATATATATTCTGATGGGTAGAGACAGTGCCCTTGAACAGCCACATTACAGCAGTTGGAGAGTCTCTCCAAGGCAGCGTGCTGCTTCTAAATCCGTGCAGCCTGTTACAACCAGGCAGCCAGACTTCCTGAGGGATTTGTATAAAAAGTTTCAATTCCACCACCGGCAGATCCAGAACAGGAAAGCTCCAAATCCTCTCTGAGCGACCGGGTTCAAGTGGATGAGCAAACTTTGTGATTCATTCTGGGACAATATTTCTCAAACCTCCCCTCCTTGCAAGCAAAAGGGAAGGAAAAAATATTAAAAAAAAGAAAGGAAAAGAGCTATAGCGATGGAGTAATGTCTAAAAAGCAATCCCAGCCCTCCCTCCTCGTCCCCGCCACGCAAGGACCGCCACCTCGGGAGGGAGTGCGGTGGCTGCCGTGGGGTTACCTGTGTGAGTGTCCAGCTCGCTGTAATTCGGCTTCTTGGACGAGTTGAAATGTTTCTTGACCAGGAAGGAGCGGGGCATTTTGGACGCGGGGGCTCTTTCTCCTTCTTCCAGGCTTCTCCCTCCTCTTCGCGGGTGGGTGGGTGGGTGGGTGTAGCGGTCCCCGGGCGGGTGCGTGTGTGTGTGTGTGGGTGTGTGTGCGTGTGCGGGTGTGAGCGGCACCACACGCAGACGGTCACTGCCGGAGCATCCGTCCCTGTCCCTGTCCTTGTCCCCGTCCCTGTCCCGCCGCCCGCCCCGCACCGTCCATCCACCCGCGCCCTGAGCGGCGGTGCCTGAGCCGCCCTGAAAACTCCCGTAAATACCCACGAGTCAGGTGCAGGGGGGAAGGGTTTCCCGCTCCTCCAATCACTTCGGGATCTTCTCAAGCACTTTTTTCCAAACAGGCTGGTGGTTTAGTTGGTTGTTTTTTTTTTTTTTTTTTTTTTTCCAACCCCCCCCCCCCCCCCCTTTTTTTTGGTGGGGGGTGGGGTGGTG